TTTAATAAAAAAGTTTGAAAACGAGTATCGATCATTTATAAGTAGTATTATGTAAGAATTCTTAAAAATTAAAAAATATATATATAAATATGAGCAAGTAAATAATATATACTTAAATGAAAAAATATAAACTTAAACATATGTAAACTTAATATGTATTATAGTATTTATAAGAAGAGTATCGTAGAAATAATATAAAAAAAGCAGAATAGTGCAAATAAAAAAAAGAAAAAAGAAAAATCAATTATTACTCTTTATTTATTTTTAATTGTTTGATTTTTTTTTTTTTTTTTAGAATAAACCATAAATGTGCGCAAAAATTTAAATATAATAATTTGAAATAGCATTGTTTGCTTTTAATTATAATTTTCCTACTACATATGCGCATTCCTTTTAGATATCTTTATATATAATAAATATTTAAAAAAATATATTCTTATATTTTAAATCTTATCAATTTAATAAATTTTATGTCTTTTTTCTTTTTTCAACATGCTTTAATTTTTTTTTACAAGAGACAATAAATTTTCATATTAATCTAGAAATAAAATATAAAAGTAAAAATCTTTAAGCTAAATAAAATGAAAAAATTGTAATATTTCATAATAAAAAACTATTATTAATGCATGTAATCTTCTTGTTTATTCTGCTTATTTTTTTTTAGTGATTCCGTTTTTATTTTATTTTTTATAAGGAACGAAAAAAAAAGGAAAATAAAAACATTTTTATTAAATTTTTAATGAGACAAACATTAAAAATGTAAAAAAGTCTAATATTTCTATTGAATAAAAATACATATTTTACATTACCTATTTTTTTTTGAAACATTTTACCTTCAAATTACATTGCATAAATATTTATTAAATATATAATAGTATTATCTTGTGCTTGTATTTTCATTTAAAAATTTGCAATAAATCTCTTGTTTTATGTAATTTTTTTTGTAGATTACTATTTAATTTTGCCTTTTCTCTTGTGTTGATGTTTTAATTAATTAAAAATAGGAAGAAACTAAGTAAAAAGAATTGTAAATATATTATATTTTCATGAATAAATTTTACATTTTATTCAATTTTTTAATATTATTGAATTTCGCAATTTTTTTTTTTTTTATTTTTTTTTTTTGAATGTGTTATTTTTACCATTCTTTACTTATTAGCATAAGAGAAAAAAACAATTATAATTTTAAATGCATATATTTTTTTCTTTTTTTTTTTTAATTTCGTAAATTTTAATTTAATATAATATTCAGAGCATAAAAGTGCGTTTGTTCTATATTTTATTTTTATATTAAATATATAATTATTTAAAATTTTTTCTTTTCTTAGTAATCAAACAAAATTTGTTTTGCGTGTGAAGATCGATTTTGCATAAAAAAAAAATATATGTTTTTTTTGTTTAAAAAAAAAAAATAAAATATTTATGTATCATATATTTGTTAAATGTAATTATCATATTTTTATGTTTAATGTGTGAAATGGTAAATTTATTGTTATTCTATTAACAATATGAACATTTCCTTATGAAATTACTTGTTTTTAATTAATTTATTTATTAAATATTTTTATAAAATAAGATATAAATTTTTTATTCATTTTCTTTTTTTTTTTTTTTATGAAAATAACTATCATGTGTATTCAAAATAACTATACATTGCACATTTAGAGAATATATAAACCATAACTACAAATATTTAATAGAACACATGACATTGTGTTTAGAATATCGGGAATTTTTATTTCACCTTATATCTTTTTTTTTTCTGTATACATTTTTTTTTTTTATTACTTTTTTCTTTTTTTATTTATGTATAGATATATATAAACATTAATTATAATTTTTTTTTTAAGAATATATTATTATCTCACTAAATTTTTTTATTTTACATGTTTCTTTTGAACGCCACTTAAGAAGCATAAGAAAATGTTTTATAATTACAATATATGGTTTTTAAAATATATGAACAAGAAATAATATATTATTTGATTTTACACATAAATTAATTTTTTTTTTTAATTCTATTTTTTTTTATGTATATTACGTTTTATCAATAGTTATGTAATCCTAATAAAAGTATAATTATTTTTATGAAATAATAATAATATGAACATGCATGATTTTTTTGAACTTTTGTTTTTATCATATTCATGTAAATAGGTAAGAATCAATAATATTAATAATCATTTTATTTTTTTTTAATGTATAAATAAACCCCTTGTTTTATTTATATATATGTGTATATTTTAATTATATGAACAGTTTTTATGAAAATTTTATTACTCCCTTACATAATTTTTTAAAATTTGGTAATGTATATATATATATATATATATATGTATTTATGTATATAAGTATTTATGTATATATGTATTTATGTATGTAAGTATTTATGTATGTATGTATGTATGTATGTATTTATGTATGTATGTATTTATGTATGTTTGTATATATTATATGCACATCCATAGTACTTTTAAAAAACATTTTTTTCTTTTAATGTAAATGCAAGCTAATATTGATTTTTATCAATATTTTTTCCATTTTTTTTTATAAAAATTATTAAATGTGTAAATTATATTATTGTTAGTGCATTTTTTTTTTTTTTTTTTTTTTATGCATAAATTTAATATTTTAAAATTTATATTTTTCCCTTTTTCTTTGATCTAATTTGATCTTCGAGAACTATATATATATATATATATATATAAATTTATTTTTTTTTTTGATATGTTTTATGTGTATCATGAAATCTGTATAAATGTGATATTAAAAAAAAAAAATAATAAAGATAAAATACATATTTTAAAAGATTTTAAATAGACATTTCATTACCTGAAATAAATTTTATTTTTTTGCTTTGTTAATTTTATATTTGCTTTTCGAATCTATACATTAAGAGAATTGTATATACTTTTTAGTAATTTATTTTTTCAATTATTTAGTTTATTTCAATTAATACATAAAAAAAAAAAAATTCTCCTCCAAAATATTTTTAAATACATATTTTTTTATGTGTGATAAAAGTTTTTTTTTTTTTTTTGTATTTTTATATTTTCGAATACATGTATTAAGACAGTTATATTTCTCAATGATAAAAATAAAAGGACTAATTAATTTTTTACATTATATACAAACCCATACTCTTTCTTTTTTATATTTTATTTAAATAAATTTTTTTTTATATTTTTATATGTGCATGCATGCATAATATATTTTCTCTATGCTCCTACGTTTTCTTTCTTTTTCTTCTTTTCCGTAACTACAAAATACAAAGAATATGCATTAAAAAGAAAATAAAAACTTATATATTTTTCATAATATTATGTGTATTTTGCATTTTTTTTTAAATAGCATTGTTATCAAAATATTTTTTATAAAATAACTTTTCGTATATTTTAGATATCTCTTTTTTTTTTTTATTTTTTTTTATTTTTTTTTTTTTCATTACTTTTATTTTTATAAATAGATATTTTTAAAGGGAAAATTTTAATAGTAAATTATAAATATTTCTTCATTTTTCAAATCTGTCAATTGTTGTATGAAATTTTTATTTTCATATTTGTCAATTTTATAAGTTTTTTTCAATTTTTCGTATTTGTCAATGTATGCATTTTTATTTTATATACATTCCTTTTTCATCAATAATTTTTAAAAATAATTGTAATAAAAATTATATTTTTAATAAATTTTAAAATTTATTGTAAATACAATTTAAAAAAAAATTTTAAATATTTAATATATGGATTTTACTTTTTATATATTTTTATGTATATACTATATGTTTATACATATATATATGTATGCATATATTTTTATATACATGAACAACAATCGAAAAAAAAAAATTTTTTATTTAAACTTATATATATTATATATTTGATTAAAACATATATTGTATACAAAAGAATAAAAAGTACATAAAAATTATATAAAGACAAAAATATACTATTATATATATATGTGTGTATATATATAATAGCATTATTTCTTTTTTTTTTTTTTTTTTTTATAGTAGTTTTTATATAATTTTATATATATATATAAATAAATATTAATTTTTTTTATCTTTATTTTTAATAGGCTTTAAACAGTTTCTATATATTTTATGGATAAATATTTGCATTCATATACCCTTTTTTTTTAAATTAATTATTTGTTATAAAATAATTGTTTTTTATTATATGAATTTTTTTAATTAATTTAAAATACTTAAATGGAAATATTTTTAACATTTATCTTTTTAAATTTTTCGTAAATTGCAAAATGATTTTTCGCATTTAGTTGTATATATATATATATATGTATATATATATAAAGCTTTAAAAATAATTTAATATATTTTTAACAAATTTTTTTTAATGCATTTATGATTTAGAATACAATTTTTTTTATATCTTTAAAAGAAAAAAAATATAAATACATCACTTTTAGAAATGTCATTATTATTCTTTTTTGATAAAAAAAAAAAAAGATAATAGAAGAGAAAAAAAAATAAAATAGGAAATTTTTTAATTTATAAAAAAGGTGGCAAAAATAATTAAAGAAAAGGAAAAAATAATATATTGAATTAAAAAATAATCTAATTTACTAAAAGAATATTTTTAACAATATACTTTAAAAATCATATTTTAATTCTAAAAAGGTATATGAATTTTAAAGAATATTTTTTTTAAAATTTTTTTATTTTATTAATTTATTATAATGTGTTATTAAAAAATATATATATTTATATATATTCATATGTATGAATATGCGTACATATATATTTTTTTTTTAAATATAATGGAAAATTTGTTGCCATATTTTTATTAAATATTTAAAGTATTATTTAAAAGATTTTAAGGATATTGTGATATGTATTATTTTAAATAAGGAAGAAAAAATTTTTCTTTTAATTATTGTTTTTTTTATTTTTTATTTTTTATTTTTTTTTTTTTTAAGAAGTATATGTGAAAATATATATATATTTTATTTTTTTTTAAAATTTTTTTTAATGTAAAATGGATAAATTTATGAAATTAGAAAATCATAAATTAAACAATAAAGTAGAAAACTACAAAAATTATATTGATGAATTAAAAAAGGTATCAAATATTTTTCAAAACAAAAATATTGATTCTTTTGCTTCAAATTCAACAATTGATGAAAATAAGATTATGAATGCAAGTGATTTATGTAATTTATGCATTGATAGGAATAGCGAGAAATATAATAAAAGAATAATAGAAAAGGAAACAATGAACAATAATTATACAAGAGAAAAAAATTTTCCAAAATTTACTAAAAAAAATTCAGTTATTGATTTTTTGAATACTCCTATTATAAATACAAATGAATGTAATTATATTAATGAAATTAATAAAGACTCAAAAGTAAAAGAAAATACATTAAATGAACATAGTGATATTGATGCACATACATATGAAAATGAATTTAATAAAGTTAATTCTATAAGTACTAATAATATAGGTGAGACAAATATTATTCAGAAAGAAGAAAAAAGTGATTACACTTTGGATAAGTTAAATAGTCATACAATTTTTTATAAAGAAAACAATAATGAAAAAAGTTGTAATTCTAGCTGCAATTACAATAATAAAAATTCCATATATCATAAAAATTCAGTAGTAGAAAAGAAAGGTAATGAAGATAAATTTAATGAATCACAAAATATTATTAATAATAATTTTAAACTAATAAAATTTTATTTAGAAAAAATACTAGAGAAATCATCAGATAAAAATATAAAAAATTATTCTCCTAATAATAAAAATATTGAATTAAATAATTTTTGTAAATATAATTCAGAAGTAAATATGTTAAATGATTTTCCATTTAATTATGCGCTTCTACAAGATAATATTAAAGAGTTATGTAATAATAATAATAATACTACTACTACTACTACTAATAATAATAATAATAATAATAATACTATTACTTCTACTACTAATAATAATAATTTAGTTGGTCTGAATGAAACGAATAAAAAAGAAGTATCACTTAAAGATAACGTAGAAATGAAAAATAATTTGAATTATAATACAGTTAATGATAAAATAAATAATACTTCTAATATTAATGAAGAAATAAATTATTTACTTCTTACAGGAAGCAATATGGTAAAAGATTCAGATGTTAACAATGAAAATGTATTTAAGAACATTGCATTAAAAATTTACAATTACCTAAAAAATTGTAATGTAAGAAAGATTGATGAAATAAAACAATCAAGTTTAAATAATACAGAACAATGCAATATGCATGATTTTTCAAAAGATAATAACATAGAAAAAAATACAACCTTATCAAAAGAATTAAAAATATATGTACCATTGCTATTGTTTTATTTAGCAAATTTTTATTGCTCCAGTGATATAGGTTTTCTTCATAATAGTACAATTTCTCACAAAAAAAAATTAAGAAAAAAAGTCATTAATGAAATAATGTTTGGTGTTATTAATTCTGATGCTAATAAATATATTGATCAATTATTGTGTAGTGTCAAAATATGTTTTATACAAATACTTGATTATTTAAAAGATTTTAATTCAGAATGGGTAAGACATAATAATGGAGAAGAATATTTTTATCATTTTCGTAAAATTATTTCTATTGATAGTTCTAATATTGATATTAATTCTGTTATTACATATGTAAAACACATTAAAAAATTAAAAAAAAAATATTTGAATGGATTTCCTTCATGTAATAATAGCTTAAATAAAAATATCAAAAAAAAAGATAAACAAATTTTTGAATTACCAAAGAACATTTTATATGAGGAGAATAAAGAAAATATAAATATAATCAATCATGAATCTTTACCAAAAAGCATATATAAGGAAAATGGAAATTTGAATAATGAATGTTTAGGTAGTAGATCATTAAAAAGAAAATATAATATAAATGAAGAAAAAAATTTAGATAATAAATTACATAAACAAATTAAAATAGAATTAACTTCTAGTGAGATGCATGATAATGAAACTCAAAATATAAAAAGTGATAAGGTTGAGGATAATAACATTAACTTACCAAAAAATCAAAACATTAATTCAAGTAAAGAAAATGTAATTGATGAAGAAGATAAAATTTATTATGCACCAAGTGATATGAGAACAAGTATTGAAACAATTAATGAAAACGTTAAATTAGATAAATATGAAGATGATTTTAAAATGAAATATTATAATGATGAAGATAAAAAGGATTCTTTAAAAAAAATGGAAAATAATGAAGAAAAATTGAATGAATATTTTGAAGAGGATATGAAAGAAAAAATGGAAGAAAAAATGGATGAAAAAATGAAAGAAAAAAAAGAAGAAAATATAAAATGGAAAGAGGAGAAAATGGAAGACAACGAAAATAAAAATAACGAAGATAAAATATTAAACAAACTTGATGATGAAAAGATAGAGATAAAAGAAAAAGAGGATGTAAAGCAAAATATAAATGATGAAGATAAAAAAAATATATTTGTTGATTGCATCAATTTTTCAATTTCTGATAATACGATTAACAAAGAAGATGATAATATTAAAATTAATAATAATGAAATGGAGGAAAATAATTTAGAAGAAAATAACTTAAAAAGAAATGAAGTAATTAATTGCAACAATAAAGACCATCCAACTATTGTAAATAGTAATAATAATGAATCTATTGAAAATAATGCAAATGAAAATATTTCAACAAATATAGAACCTTTTATATCTAAAGATAATGTTTTAAATGATAAATGCAATATTTCTAATAATAATTCAACATTATTTGAAAATAAAGCAAATTCTTATTCAAACGAAAAATTGCTTGTTAATTATGAAGGTAATTTTAATTCAACTTATAAAAGTAGTCCCTCTTCTAATAATATAATATTAAATCCTGAAAATAATAATGATTTTAATTTAATAAATGAAAAGAAAATTTACAATGATCATGAATGTACTCCTGAGAATAATGATTCTAACCTAAAAATAGAAACAAAAATTGATAGTAATCCATATAATAATGTTTCTTATTTAAACTTAAATAAAAAAAATAAAAAAACAAAAAAAATGAAAACTCATTATTTAAATAAAATTATTAGTTTCTTATTTAATCAAAATATATTTAACTATTCTTTAATTTTTATTCCTATATTAAAAAATGGAGGTAACGTAAATTCATTACATTCAAGTACAATAAACAATGTTATTCTAAAATTGAATAATCTTAGATTAGTAGAGATAGAAAATCAAAAGATAAATAACATATCTTTATATAAAAATATTAACAATAAAGAAGATGAACAGAGTATAAAATATATCTTACCTGAGGGTTTTGAAAATAGGTTGGCGGATGATAAAGAAAAGGAATTAAATCAAACAAAAATAGGAGATAAAGAGTCTTTTGATATTGATTCAATCACTAAAGAAAAACATGCATTAAATGAACATCAAGAAAAAAAAAATAATGTAGAAAATATGAATGTGAATGCATGTTATGGATGCACGGATAATATTGAAAGAAAAAATTTAAATATGGAAACTTTAAAAAGTAATACAATTGATAAGATTAATAAATTAAATATGTCAATCTCAGTTGATATGAAGGATAAAAATATTTTAAATTCTGGTAAAGATGTAAAAATGAGTTGTCAGAAGAATGATGAAGTTAATAACAGTATAAATGCTATTATTAATAGTTTTTTAAAAAATAATTTTAATAATTATTCTAATAATAGTAATAACATTTTTAATGCAAATAATAATTTAAATAATATAAATAATAATTATAACAATAATAATAATAATAATAATATTTATGATTATAATAATCATCTTAGTGATTATATTAAAGAAGTTCTATATCATTATAGTAATTACAACAAGTCTATGAATAACAATAATATTAATACTAATACTATTATTAATAATAATAATAATTCTGTATGTATTGATGAAAATAATAAAAATAACAATAATAATAAAGGTAACCAAAATAATGAAAATAATAATGATAATTATAATACTACATTTAATGATAATAATGTAGATTTTAGTGAAAATAAAAATACAAATGAAGATAATACTTCACCTAACTTTGATAATAATAATAATAATAATAATAATAGCAATAATGTAAATGCAAACATTAATATTAATAAAAAAAATGAACTATTGCATAATAACATAAATGATAATTTTTTAAATAAAGAAACCTTTTTAAAATTATTAAAATGTTATTTAATAAATAAATCAAGTCAATCAGAAATAAATAAATTTAATCAACACATACATCATAATTTAGATAATGATAATAATAACTGTGACAATATATTAAATACTAATGAAGAAGATGCTTATGATAAATTATATATGAATAATAACACATTAGATTGTTTACTAAATAATTCAAAAAATCAGAATTGTTATAATAATTGTTATAATAACAAAAAATCAAAAAATTTGGTAAATAATCATTTATTTAAAAATAATTCTACAGATATAAATAAATTGAATACATGCAACCTTATGTGTAAGAATAATTATATATTAAACGAAGATAATACAGAAAATAACATGTTAAATGATAAAAATAATATTTGTTCAATGAAAACTTTAAATGATTTAAAATATTTATATAATTGTTATAGTAAGAATTTAAATATATGTAACAATAAGAAAAATTCTTTTTGTGATATGAATATAAATCATTTAACTAATTTCTTATCGGATGAAAAAAAAATAGATTATACAAAATTAAAAAATTTGAATTTTAATAATAATATGAGACAAAAAAATAGTTTGCATAATGATTGTATTGATAATAAATTATACTCTTGTGATTATAATTGTAAATCAAATATTTTAAACTTAATTAAAAACAAAAATCTAAATGTATATAATTTATCATATGATAAGATTTTCCTTGATTCTAAATATCTAGATGATAATAACAATTCAGTTAATTTGAATAATCTAAATTATAATGGTAGTTTACTACAGAATAGCACTTATAATAATAGTATGAATAATAATAATTATAATGGTAGTAATGTAAATATTAATAATAACTGTGCTTGTTGCAAACATAAAAGTTTACTAAATAATAAACTAGGTAAAAATTTTTTGAATAATTTTTCAAATATGAAAAATATAAATAATAGTGTTGAAAAAATAAATAAAGATATTTTAGAAAATTATCCATATGACAATATGCTTAATAATGGATGTACAGATTTGAAATCTTCATATAATACTGTACTAGAAGAAGATATGAAAGGTTACGGAAGTTTACCACTTTCTTCATCTTGTATAAATTTATGCAACAATAATCTTTTAAAATTATCATATTTATATGATCTATTAGAAAAAAATAAAAATTTATCTTTAAATGATATATCTAATGAAATGAATCAATATTTAAGTAAATATTTTTCAAGATATGGTAATTCTTTTGATAGAAAAAAAAATTGTAAAAATAATAATAATGAGGGAAATTTACAAAAAAAGGAAATGAATAATAACTGCAAATTATACGAACAAAATTTTAATTTTTTAAATAATGCATTAAATCAGAAGAAGGATAATATAAATTTTATATCTAATACAGAGGAAGAAAGTCCACTATCGTATGAAAAAGATAATAATGAAATAGTATATAAAGAGCATTTCAAAAATGATAAAAATTATTATTTATATGATGAGGAAAATCAAAAAAATGAAAATAGTGTATTGTTACAATGTAATAACGAAAAGAAAAAGCTGGAAGAAGAAAAAATGAGAAATTGCTTATCATCATTATATAACTCAGTTGTATATAAATCTGGTTTTTATACGAATGATAATTCAAATAATAAGAATATGAAAACTAAGAAAAGCAATAACTTTTGTGAATATTTATCTAATTTTAGTTATTCTAATTTAAATGAAAATAGCAATGAAAATATAAATCATATTGATGAACTTGGGAAATTTTTGTTAGTTAGAAGTGATAACAGTAATGAAAATACCTTGAATTTATATAATAATAATGTGGAACAATTAGAAAATAAAAAGAATTTTTATGATAATAAATTAAATAATTATTCTCTTTTTTCTAATAAAGATTTAAATAATTCAGTAGATTTATATAATGATGGAAGTAGCAATGATGATATACAGGAACATATTAAGAGAAAAAAAGATGTAAAAGGAGATAGTATAGATAAAAATGATCAAGATAAAGATAAACTTTTATTAATAGAAAAAGGAAAAGGTACTGAAGAAAATAAGGATAATGAAGGAAATATTAATATAAGTAATATAGATGAAAATGAAAAAGAGTTAGGTTTAGTAAATAGTTTATATGGAGGTAAAAATAAGATAGATAATAAAAATGTTTATTTAAATAATGGAAATAACAATTCTAATTATAACATTATGAAAATTAATAAAAATAAAGATATGAAAAATAATGAAGAACATTTAAATAATATAGATTCATCGAAGTTAGGAATTAAAGAAGATAGAAATAAAAATGTTGATTTTTTTTTAAATAATTTCTCATTAGAATATGGTAGAGGAAGAAGAACAAAAGTTATTAACCAAAATTATTTGAAAAATTATGAATTTGAAGCAAATTTTTTCGGTAAAAGGGACAATAAATCATCAGGCATTTCTGATGCTAATAATAAAATGAATGGTGTATGTGTTATTTCTAATAGTAATAATGGCAAAGATAAATCCAAGTTAAATAATGAATCCTCACCAACAGGTAAGGAAAATATAAATAATAAAGGAATTAATACAAGAAAAGTAAATAATAAATTAAGAAATAATGTTATTGATGTGAATGATAATTATGAATTTAAATTATCTGCATCGGAATTAAAACCACAAAGGGGGGTTTATTTTGATCGATCACAAAAAGCATGGATTGGAAGTTGGTATGAAGAGGGAAAACAAATTAAAAAGCGATTTAAAATAAAATATTATGGATGGGATGAAGCAAGGAATTTGGCAACAAAAGCAAGGTTTGCATTTGAAAATAGAACAAAAAATTTAAAAAATAAAAAGAATAATAATAATAATGGTATTATAAATGAAAATACTAATATTAATACAACTAATGAAAATATAAATAACATGGATAATAATAATAATAATAATTTTTGTAATAGTGATAATACTAATACCATTAACCATAATATTAGTAGTACTAATAATATTGATAATTTAAATAACTGCAGTGTTAACCATATAAATAATACTCTTGAGGAAGATATGAATAAAAAAAGCGTTTCAAAAAGAACCACATTAAAAAATAATGACGAAAATTTAGATGATTCTAATAATATGATTGTAAATAAAAAAGATTGTAAGAAAAATATGCTTAATAGTAATAATAATAAAACTTTAGAAGAAAATAATAATTGTAAAAACAGTGAAATTAATGGAGATAAGAATAAAGAAAATAAGTTATTATCTTCTGATGAAAAAAAAAATGAAAATAATGTATATATAGAAAATACAAAATATAATAATGTTGATACAGCAACATATAATATAAATAATTATGATTCTCATTTAAAAGATGAAAGTATGAATGTTTTGAATAATAAGGAATCTTTTAACTTTGAACAAAATGCATTTGATAAATTTGGTTATGAAAAAGATTGTAATAAATATGATACAAGAAATAATGAAAAAAATGATGAACTTTGTAAAAATGAGTTAACTCATGAAAGTTATAATTATAAAAACGAAAATAAAAATATAAATGAAAATTCATTTAATAAATGGAATAATGATAATACAGGAAACAATATTTTGAAAGATGACTATAATAATAATAAACCTAACTCAAATGAGGAAATAATGAGAAACAAACATGACAATTGTATGTTGAAAAATAATGAGAATAATACAAGAGATATTAACAGTAATGATGCATCAGAATCACAATTTTGTGATCAAACTTTTATGAAAGGAACTCAAAATAATATAATTTATAGTAATTATTATGGTAATAATTATAATGATAAGAATACAGAACAAGGATGTGAAGATCAACAAAATAAAAAGAATGATAACTGTATAAACGAAAATTGTAGGAACAATTGTAAAATAGATTTTAATAATGGTAGTAGTGATAATGATAAAATAAATAATAATACGAGAGAAGGAAATGTAAGTTATGAATGTTGTAATCAGTTAAATAATAACAGTAATAATAATAATAATAATAATAATAATAATAATAATAATAATAATACTGGTATTATAAGAAAAGAAAAAATGTTAGATAATATGAATAATTTAGATAACAAAAATAGAAATATGTATTTGAAATATTGTAATTCCAAATCATTAGAAAATGCAATAAGTTATGCTAAATCTAATAATAAGAAATTATGTGATAATAATTTATTAGATCAATCTGTTAAATTACCACAAGGTGTATTTTATCAAGATTCAAAAAAAGCATTTTGTGCTAATTGGTATTCAAATGGAAAACAAGAAAAAAGATATTTTTCAATTAATAAATTTGGTGAAGAAAGAGCTAGAAATTTAGCTATTGCTGCAAGAAAAAAATTTGAACATATTTATAAAAAAAATAATTCAAATAGAAAAGAATTATCAAGTAATATTTTGAAAAATGATTCTAATGATAATGCAGGAGGAGACATGTACCAATTAGATGAATATAATATAAATAAAAATAATATTATGCATAATAATTTAAACATTATGACGAAAAAAGTAAATCCAAATAATAAAGGAGCTTCATCATCATCTCCATTACCAAATAATGAAGATTTACATTTTGTAACTAATAATTATATAAATAAAAATTATATAAATTATAGAGATAATATTTATAATACTTTACCTTTAAATACAGACGAACGTAATAAAATTAATACTGTTAATAATAACAATTCTGTTGCTAATATTAGCAATAACAATGATAATAACATTATAAATAATACAGTTGATAATAATAATAATAATAATAGTAGTGATATAATTAATAATGATACTGATAGAATAATTAATAATGATAATGTAGATAATAATAATAAGGAAACTAATAGCAGTGAAAATAAGTCATCACCAAACTTATTAAACAGTAGAAATAATATGTATATAAATAAAAATGATGTATCTTCTCCTAATATATGTGAAAATAGTTGTGAAGTTTATAATAATACATCTAACCAAACAAATGACAATATTTTATATCTATCACCTAGTGAAAAAATAAGTAAAGAAATAACAAACGAAGAAACAAGTGTCGCTACTCCAAACTATGATCAATCATCAAAGGATTTATCTTCTCCTGATTATTATAACAAACATTCACAAAAAAATATGTTTAACAAGAATGTTAAAAAAGAAATTGATGATATAAATGTGTATAATAAAGTAGAAAAACCAAGTTCTACTCCTGCTGGGGTTTATATGATCAGAATAAACGGCATTGTTCAAGCTTGGAGAGCTGAATGGAGAAGTCCTAGTGGATGTAAGAGAACAAAAAATTTTGGAATTAATACTTATGGTAGTAGTTTAAGTAAAAAATTAGCAATAGAAATGAGAGCTAGAATGACTGGTGAATGCTTAATTTCAGATGATGGTACAGTTTTTGATTACGCAAACAAAAAAGGAACAAAAAATAATTAAAAAAAAGAAAAAAAAAAAAAAAAAAAGAATGTATTAAATATATGTGATATACATAAAAAATACCGAAACCGAACAAAAATTGTATTTTGTTTATAGTTTAGAATATTTTATTTTCATACCGTACAGAAATATATTAAAATTTAAAGGAAAATAATAATAAAGTGTATATATATATATAAAATGATTAAAATTGCTCATTAGTTAACATTTATAAAGAAAACTATTGTACAAATATTTCATATATAATTATATGTGTAATCGTATACAAAAATTTTTATTATTTCAATCATTTTATATAATAATATAATACAATAATTTCTAATATAAGATATATAGTTTTTAATATAATTTATTAATTTAAAATTTTAACAACATTTTGTGAATTTTATACTATAATAGATTTTTTTAAGGATTGAATCAATTGTTACCTTCAATTTTATATATTACTCTTTTTTTTTTTTTATAAAATTATGAATATTTTTCAAAATATATGTATATATACATATATATATATATATATATATATATATATATATATATATACAAGTTCATTTATTTTATATAAATTTTAAATTTAATGAAAGGAATAAAGAAAAAAAAAAAAAAAATTTTTTTTTTTTCATATTTTTGCCTTTAAAATATTTTTTATCTATTTGTTAAAACTTTTTATTGAACACCGCATCTTATTTTGTTACATTAGTGTTCTTTTATTTTAAAAATGTTTAAGTATTTTATGTTCATATATTTATATATATATGTTGCATAAATCTTTTTTATTTTTGTTATATTTTTAAAGATTAAAAATATATTACAATTTGTCAAAAATAAAAATATCATATATATATCTCTTTAGATGAAATTTTATATATGAAACTTTTTTTTTTTTAATATTAACATTATTTTTAAGAAACATATTTTAAAAGATATTTAGATTTTATATTACTTTTTAAGGAATAAATGAAATAAATTTAAGATTATTATTATTTTAAATTACATTTAAAATATTAAAACATTGCAATTAAGGAAAATATTTTACGGGACTTTTATTTTCATATATTTAAAAATTTTTTATTTTTACTCATTTTTTTTAATATATACATTATAATATGGTTTTTAACTTTTTTATTTTGTCTTGAGTAGACAGGAAAAATTTAGTAAAGAAAAAATATTATTTAAAATTTTTTTTTTTTAGATATAGTAAATTATTTATATTGTGTATATAATTAGAGAAGAATCTAATATAATTTTATAATCACAATCTTGGTTATTTTATGAATAAGATTAAAAAGAATAATGAAATAAAATTAAATATACAATTATTATTCCTTAAAATTTATAACATACTTTTTTACTGCCCTTAACTTTTTTTGAAATATTTTTATTAAATATTATTAGTTAATGTTATTTTTTTAGTTACATATAATTATATGTAAATAAATACACTGCCTCAATTAAAAGAAATTTAATTAATTTTTTAGTGTTTTTTGTTATTTTCAAAAAAAATAAAATAAAATAGTAATATAGAACAATTTTTTTTTAGCAATTTATATTTCTTTTTTATAAATATCTATATAAAATAATTTAATTACACACTATGATGGTTAAATTAATAGAGAGAAAAAAAAAAAAAAAAAAAAAAATTAGGTAATCTTTAACGATGAAAAAGAAACAAATTAAATATGTATATTTTATTATAGTAATAATAATAATTAAAGTATTCAAAACAAAAAAAAAAAAAAAAGATATAATAATATTATGAAGGTGTTTCAAATAAAATAATATTATATTTTTTATTTTGATTTTGAACTGTCATTCTTAAATAACGATCTTTAACTATATTAACTATACCAGCAAAAGTCTTTTCAGTTGAAATAAAAACGCACCATGTCCCATTTCTTTCATTATAAAAATATGTAGCTAAATTTAGCAAGCTATATGAGAGATCTTCCATACTTATATTTGGATTACTAATAAATTCATTAATACAATGTTGTTTAAAGTTATATTTCATTTGATCATTCATATAGGAGAAATCAATGTGCACATGTGTTATATTTTTTGTTTGTAATATTTTATAATCTATAGATTTAAAAAAAGATCTAGCACTTAAGAAATCGAATTTATTAACTTTTCTTGATTGGAAACAAATTATTTCATAGTGATCTTTTAAGTATTTTTCGTTAACATTATTAGAAATGTAAATTTCATGAACTTTCTTATTTTCTGGTAAAGTTAAATATTCTACAACATTAGTATTTCCGTATTCATATACTCCATGATTAACTTCTTTATTAAAATGAAATTCTTTACTAAACATTATCTTATTTTTTAATTCACTGTAATTTTTTTTTAAAACTAATTCATCTTCTTTAGATATAAATGATCTAAAATAACAATCTGATGAACAAAAAAATATATTCCATTTATTCCCGTAGTTTTTTTCTATATCATTTTTAATTTGTTTTATAATATTCATAACAAGTTGTTTTTCATTTGAGTTAAATATGTATATATCATTTAGCTCATTTAATAAATGAAGTTTTTCTTTAGGATCTTTAAATTTACTATTAGATACACAGTTTATAGAATAATCGTTTTTTACATCATACAACTTTTTCTCATTATGATCATTTTCGTAATTTCCTTCATTTGGAAAATTATAGTAATTAATTAAGCCATTCATGAGACACATTAAATTATTTTGACAACATATGGGATAATTTATACATTTAATATTATTTGCATTTAAAGTTTTAGTTAAAGAAAAGTTTTCGTCTAAATTATCTCCATCGATTGTTTCATCAAAAGAACTCTTATTTTTTTCAACAAATGTATAATTATCATCTTCATAAGTTGAATCATTCAGTTTTGAACTATTATTTTCATTTTCAATTATTTCATCATCTGTTATTTTATTGCTATTTATTTCATCATCTGTTATATTATGATCATTTATTTCATCTTTTGTTATTTCATTATAATTTATATCCTCTTCAATTATTTTGTTTTCACTTATATCATCTTTATTTATTTGATTTTTATCTATTTCATTTGGTCTTATCTCATTGTAACTCATTATGTCTACATTTACATTATCCTCATTTATTTTTTCCATATTTTCATCTTTATTTTCTGATGTACAACTAGTAAAAATTTCCTTTTCAGTGTAAAAGTTTTCCATTCCCAAATTAAATACACTGTCTTTTTTGAGTTTATCATTTATAGGATCAAAATCTTTTAAGGCTTGATGTATTTCTCTTAACTTTTTGCTATAAATAGTTACACTATTGATAAAATTCATTACTCCATATGTGTTGTGAAATCTATTATTTGATCCATTGTTCTCAATAATTCTTGACTCCATATTTTGTAATAAATCATCATCTTCCTTGAATGATGTAAATCCAACACTTTTTGTTTTACTTTTATAATTTTTACTATAATCAGTAGTGTAATATTTATTATATTCATCTAAAGAAAAGTTATCATCATTAAATGTACCTGTATTTTTTAAATCTATTATATTTAATAACTCATTTTCTTTTTCATTTTTGTCATTATATTCATTATTTAAATTTCTTGAATATAATTCCATAACTTTTTCTTTTTTTTGTATTTTTATATTTGATTTTGTTGTTTCATTTATATATGTTACTTTTTCTGTTATTTTTTCTAACTCAAATGGTGTTTTATTTTCATTTGAAGATAATTTATTATAAGAATATTTATCTGTTTTATCAATACTTTCAAATATCTTTAATTTGGAAAGATTGTTTTGTATCAGCATTTTTATAGATCTTTCATTTAGAAAAATCATATTCTTACCTATACGCCAATCCTTTGGACTTATGTAATATGAGTTTAATAAGTTTTTAATTCTTTCTTTATTGACTAACTTTTTTTTATTATTATCATCATTTATTTGATTATCACTTTCATGAAGAGATTGAAAAGTTTCTAAAAAATTAGAGAAGGTGAATATATATGGAAAATATCCTTCTTTTAATTGCGCTAATTCTAAAATATGGAATTTGTTAAGTTGATTTAAGACTAATTTTCTATCAAAATCAAATTCGTTTTTATTTTCATGTGCATTTAAGCACAATATAAAATGACAAAAGGTGGATTCGATTACTTTTGTTAATTCTAATAAATTATTTCTCATTAATGTAACTAACATTTGATTTTTTGATTCATATTCTTCTTTCAACAAATTATATTGAGGATAAAGATTATGTCTCACATTTTCTTTCATTATTTTTCCTCTTATGTCATAGTTATAGGAAGAACATAACTGTTTCATGCATGTGTTTTCAGATTTTTTAATCATTTCAATAAAATTACGTGTTAAAATATCAACATTTTCACCTATAAAATTATTAGTTTTGTAAGTTATATTTTCACAAGAATGAACAATAACAAATGAAGTATTTTTTATTATTGAACTTTTTTTTATATATTCTTTGTTCTTAAATCTTTTAATAATTAACGGGCATAAATTCTTTTTATCAAGTGTTTTTTTTATGCATGCATTTTCTAAAAAGGAGAATAAAGATTCTTCTTTAGATACTATTATTTTGTACAAATTTTCATTATCCATATAATTTAATTGATTTGATTCTATTCCTTCTTCTTTGTAAATATTTGATATTTTCTTAAAGAAAAAATCAATGTATATTTTTCTTATAGTTTCATTTGTTGTGTTTATCAATAATTCATTTAATGAATTTTCCTTTAAATTTTCAAAATACATTATATCCAATATATTTATATAGGGATCACTCTTATTTATATCATTTTGGTTAACTTTGCTGTTTATTTTAAGAATTATCCAATTATATAATTCTTCATAACATGTTTTTATAAAACATTCTATTCTTTTTCTTATTTCTATTTCCTTATAAGCTTTAGAATGTATTACATCATTGAATGTATCATCTTTTATAAAATAATTTAATAAAACTTCAGGTTCAATATTAAGTAACTTACTTGCAATTAGAAATATTTTTGTATTATCTTCAGATTGTTCTTCATAAAAATTTTGTTCTAATTTTTTTAATTCTTCTTTATAATTTACTTCAATTTGACGTAGAAAATTTTGTTGAAGGGTTAAATTGTCAGAATTTTCTAAAATTTCCATGTTTCCTAATAATAATAATGCTGAGAGAACTGAAAAAATAAATTCAATTTCTTCTTTCACAAATATGTAATCTAGAGATTTTAGTAATTGTGAAAATCCATGTTCATCTTCATATTTTTCACGCATGTTTTCATTTTTTAAAATTTTATAATCTTCAATATTTTTTAAGAAATATTTTCTCTTGAATATATCATCTGATCCATTTAAAATAT